GTGGTGGCCGCTTCACTGCATTGCAGAGTGTGCACTTTCTGAGGTTTTGAGCTTCTCAAGTTTCATGTTCGGAGTTCCGAGAGAACCCCGAGGGCGATTGGACCCAAGACCTTCACCGAAATACCCAGACAAGTTTTCGAGTTTGCTGTTGCCTGGTATTGGCTGGGCCCCACTTCATTGACTCCTTTGAAGCCGTAGAGTGGTATGGCCAGTTTACGCAAGGCTTTGTTCTAGTTGGGAACTTATTGTAGGTTGGTTGGCTAGGGCCCTTTTTGTTGCATGACCTGTTCATACATCATGGTGCTGTAGCTTTGGGCCCGAGTCCGCAACAGGTCCAGCTTGTTTTTTTCGGGGTATGAACCTCTGGAAATCACTCGGTGCCCAGGGTTTACTAAAAATGTCAGGTGTATTGAATATGTCATGTGAGTTGCCTGCCGAACCGTACGTCTTGGACGTACCACGGGTTTCATTCCTCTATCGACGTAGTACAGTTCTTTCTGTGCCTGGCAAGCAGATGACGTTTGAGTGGCAAGAATTTTTGCTGCCAACAGGCCTGAGGCATGCGCCCCTAGGCTTTATCATGAAATTTCAAGCATACGCAACGTAATTCCTAAAGAGGCTAATCAACATGGACGCTTACCCTAAACCCCAAACCCTGAGACCAGTGATGCTTGTTTCGCCCCGCCAGGACAACAGCTCCTCTTTTAAATGCAGCCCTGAGGCCCTGCTTAAAGGTTCCCATGATAGGTTATAAAGCCCTCTACTTGCAAGCCCTACTTCTAACGACCCACGAACCTTCAAGCAAACTCCTCTCCCTCGCGACCCTGGCACCCTCAACCCTGCTGTTTCTCCGTAGAGATTGAGCCCACCTCTCAGCGTGCTTGCCGAGGTGCGCTATGTGCTTGTCCGGGCCTGAGCTCCTGTTCCAAGGAATTTGCTAACTTGGGGGGGCGTGGGGGGCTTCGTGCCCAGGGCAGGAAGCTGGTGTCGATACTTCTACGGAACATTTGGCCTCTCAGATTGCTTGAGCACTCCAGCGTTCGATGGGATGCCGGGGCACTGTTGAAAACGTGAGACTTGCCAGGTGAAATATCTCATACCCTAAGCCCTAAGCCCTGAACCCAGAGGATTGGTGAACTCAAGCAAGGCACATGGAAGTCGCAGCCCCCCCCTTCCCCCCCCTCCCCCAGAGGCACCTTGCTGAGCAACATCTCCGAAACCCCCAAAAAATCGTATAATCCTTCAGTACTGGAACCTCCCCCCCCCCCTCCCTGCACATCAGGTAGTTACCCCAGGTTTTTGGGAACCTCATAATTCTAACCCGAAACCCTAAACCCTAAACCCTAAGCCCTAAACCCTGAGCCTCGAACCCTAAACCCTAAACTTTCCAAACCCTAAGCCCAAAACCCTAAACTTCTAAACCCCAAACCGATCCCCAGTACGCCTGGTTCTCCACCAGTCGGCCGAGATTTGCGCTGGCCCCTTTGGCGGCAGTCAAGCGCCGTGTTAGGGTTTAGGGTTTAGGGTTTAGGGTTTAGGGTTTAGGGTTTAGGGTTTAGGGTTTAGGGTTTCTTCGGGAGCTGTGCACCTCGGTTCGGGTTTCGGGTTTCGGTTTCGGGTTTAGGGTGTAGGGTGTGCCTGAGTTCCCTCAGGAAGGGGCTTTTGTTGCAGGCAAGGGATCTGGGTGGTTTAGGGTTCAGGGTTCAGGATCCTGGCATGTAGGGCTAAGTTTCACCTCCATTCTCATGCAGCTTCCCTGGAGTTCACAGGTTCTGTCCTGGGGTGTTTGCACTTCTGGCGTGGGCCTCCCTTGATGAGTCAGGCGTGGTGCTGAACACCTGGCCCTCAACCCGCAAGCGCCCTAAGCCCGAAGCCCTAAACCCTCAACCCTAACCCTTAATCCCGTGAACCCTAAACCCTAAACCCTAAACCCCTAAACTCCACCCTTAAACCTGTCGGCCCAGGTTCCGCTCACAGACCTGGGTGCGGCGCTGCTTGTGATGTTTGGCCCCCGGCATCTGGGAGTGTCGAGGGCGCTGCCCAACTGTTTAGAAACACGGGGTCTGGGTTTAGGGTTTAGGGTTTAGGGTTTAGGTTTTAGGGTTTAGGGTTTAGGGTTTAGGGTTTAGGGTGTAGGGTGTAGGGTTTAGGGCTTCTTGTAGTTGTGTAGTGGGCAATTAAGGGAGGCTTTACAGGATCCCTGGAGTCCTATGTCTTCCGCCCTTGACTGAGCTCCCAGTCCCGAACAGATCAGGATCAGCATCTCAGACATCGCAATGGGTTTAGGGTTTAGGGTTTAGGGTTTAGGGTTTGGGGCTCTTAGTTATGGGTGCTTGCAGATGCGAGCGCGAAGCCCTGAATGTGATGATGCGAAAGGTACCAGCTGCTGCTGGGCCTGTCGTGGCCGCGCACCCAGAGGGGAGTTTACGAGAATAGGTTTTCCCGAATATACATCCTCAAATAGTAGGAATCCCTTATAATCAGGACTCCAATAAGGTACCCCTCATCTCGGAAACCCCGAGATTGCAAAGGCAGAAGGTCAGGGTGGAAGTGTTTGCTCAGATCTCCGGCACCGATGGGACGTGCGAGGAGGTTAGGGTTTGTGGCGAGATTAGGGGAGTTTAGGAGAGTTTCGGGAGTTTAGGGAGTTTAGAGAGTTTAGGGAGTTTAGGGGGTTTGGGGCGTTTAGGGGGTTGAGGGAGTTGAGGGAGTTGAGGGAGTTGAGGGAGTTGAGGGAGTTTAGGGTTTTAGGGTTTTAGGGCTTAGAGCCATGTGTTCTCTGACGAGGTTTTCGCATTTTCGCGCTGTGACGACGGACCCAGGCACCATTTGTTCGAGGCTGGGCGCATCAGTGCTCTTGCTTTGTGTGTGTAAGCCCCACAAAACCTAGTAGTAGAGTAGGTAACCGTTAACCTCTTTAGGGTAGAATCCCCTGATAATCCCAAAGGTTAACCGTTCATTCCCCCAGGTTACTGCGCACAATAGTCTTATATCCTCATACTTTCATATTCGTATGTTCTCGTATGCTTATATTCTGGTATTCTTATGTTCTTGTATTCTCACATTCGTATATTCGTATACTCGTATATTCGTATATAGATTTTCCTATTTCGCTATCATTGGGCCAACCAGGAATTCGGGTGGGGTACCCTTTTTCGGGGTTCCTTTAAAAGGATGAAACAGTATGTTAGGGTATATAAGGGGCACCCCTTTTATCCGGAATCCTCAATATACATCTACATATATGGTGGGTTTCCTAGATTAGGGGTACTTTTTTTTTTGGGGGGGGGTCCTTACTATGAGGGAATCCTACTATTTGGGGATCTAAATTGGGGGTCCCCATATACATGCACATGCGCATACGCCGGCTTAGGATCTTTGTCGGCCTCCAGCTGCCCTTCACAGCACATGTCTGTGCCTTTTGGCACTGCCTGTAGTACAGATGCTCCCAGTTCGGCGCATGTAAACTCATCGGCAACCCTTATAACCCAAAGTAGATCCCAAAGTCGTTGAACGCAGTGCCGCGCCGGCTGGCTTCGCGAACCCGCGGGTCTGCAAGCTCTGTCAGGCAGGGCCTAGGGTCGCGGTTTTTGTTGCAGGGGCCTTGTGGTGCAGGATCCATAAGGATCCGGGTCCCTCCGGGTCAAGGGGCCCTCTCCCTCTCTCTTTCTCTTTCGTTTAGCGCCTCGCTTTGGCCTTGTGTAGGCGCTTGTGGGAGGGCCTGATGATGCCTGATGTTCTTCCGGGTCTCATGTTTTTGTTGCTCCGAGATTGTTCTTGTAGGTTTCGCCTTCCTTGGTGCTCTGGAAGGCGTAGTTGTGTAGGCCGTGTAGGTGCTGCCAGCCCCATGGACCATTGTGACAGGATCCTGGGACTTGAAGCCTTTTCTCTCTTGAGAGTACCACTTTCCTACCAGGGCCGCTGGAAGCCGCCGAGGGCTCACCACTGCAAGACGTCCATTGCTCAATGGCAAGGGGCGTTCGGTGATCGGACTGTGTGGCATCTTTTGGCTGCCATGTTCTAACCAAAGACTGGAGCCTTCTTGGGGATTTCTTGGTCCGCGGTCTTGGGCTTGAGGGTCCTAAGTGCAAGCCCGAAGATCAAGCCAACATCTGCAGGCTCCTTCCAAGCTCAGATCGTGTCTTTACGAGTTCCATGAACCCTATTGCAAGAAGACTCTTGCCACCGCCACCTGACAGCACCGCGCACGTGAATCCAAGGTGCAGGCGCTGCATATTTCGGATGGACCGCGTGCTGTGGATTTGTGGGGGGGGGGGGGGGGGGGGGGTGGGAGGCCTTACCTTATAGGCTCCTCTCTAGAAGCATCCCTTCTCCGACCATCGCCTGACCTGAAACCCTTCTGGGATACCCGGTCTCCGAGGCTCCGCGGTGAGAGTTTTGGGCTCTCGTTTAGACTGAAGTGCATTCGTGGGGGGCATATCTCGAGTCCATCTCAGAGGGGTGATGGGAGGGGCCTTAGTATCAGTGCCCAGGGGATCACCCAGGCGTTGGGGGTCTTGGCCAGGGACCACCACTGTCCCTGGATCAACAACTGCGTTGGCCTTTCGAACCAGAAGTTGTTTATCCTCTTCCTCGGCCGCCTCCTCGGCTGCTTTTTGTTTGGGGGGGGGGGGGGGGGGGGCGGTGGGGGGGGGGGGGGGGGGGGCGGGCGCCTTCAAAGTTGACCCTGTTGGATTTGATCTTCTCTGTTCAGGTCTTGGGGGTTGGGGTCTCAGGAGCTGGGCTGAGGCGTGGACGCTTCTGCTTTCTTGCACAGCTAGGGGTTCCTTAAGGAAGGCATCTCGGTCAGGATGTCAGGGTTCTTTATGATGCCAAAACAAGAATGTACTGCTTTGGCTACCAGCTCCATGTGCCGGATTGCCTTGGTCTGGTCCTCCACCAACTCTCCACTCGCTAGCGACGGTGCCGGGACCAGCACAGCCAACGAGGTTTCTCCGAATTCATGGTCTGAAGGGTGCACCCTTTGCAAGCAAAAGGCAGCCCCTGAACTTCCCCTCACTTGGCACCATCCGCCAGTGTACACCTGCGCGAGCGCCATCTTTACCTTGATCCTCCTAGCCGGCAGCGCCTTCTACTGGCTGTGGGCCGGGGCCCCGGTGAGGCTTCTACCCAAAACTCTAAATCTAAAACCCTAAACCCAGTGAGGATTCGGTGAGGTTTCTGGGATGATATGGGAGTAGGGGCTCAGGGTTGGATGAACTCGAGCCTTGAGGGGGGAATCTTGGCGCATCACCGAGCATGGGTCCAGTAGCCTAAATCCCCACGCCCACGCCCTCCTGCGCCCAGAGCCAAAACAACTGGTCGGATGCGCCTCCGCCGGGCTCCGCATCTCTGATCTGCCGCGGGCCCAGTTCGGTTGGATGCAGTTCGATTCGGACTGCGTTGCTCCAGGCACAGGTGTACTTCTTGTAGCTCGAGGCATTCAATACAACCATCAAGATGAAATGGAACTCAAGAATCCCCGCGTCTTTGGCTTTTTGCAACACTCACGATGCAGGGGGCTTAGGGTTGTTTTTGGGTTTTCCGAGGCACCGGGATGGTCGCAGTCGAGTGCTTCGCTGCTGTTCTTTTCGTCAGCGACTTCCTGCAGGCAGCAGCCTGACAACGGGAGTGCAGGCATGTGCAAGTTGGACCCACAAATTGCGCACATGCCAGATCCATCATTCTGTCACGCCTCATGTCGATGTGCTCGTCAGCAAGACTACTCCCAGACTCAAACCCGTAGCTCGCATTCAGCTGAGAGCCTTTTGTGTCCCGCTTCCGTGACATTCGTTTGTAGGTTTCAGCCTCGGAACATAGCGGTAGGAATGGTCTGACATCTCTTGGAGAGGAGCAAGTGGAATCGATTCAGATGAACTCAACGCTGGTGGAGACGTGCCCACCGAGCTGTTGATCTACACTTTCCCAGCAGGCTTTGTGGTGCTAGTACCATCAGGGTTGCATGAAGTTAAGTTCTGCTTCTTGAACAAGCATCCTTTCGTATCACCATGGTCTTTCTTCCTCTTACGCAGGGGACCCATCGTGGGCCCAAGCCAGAGGATCGCCCCACGCAAGATAACCCCCCCCCCCCCCACCCCTAAGCCCTCAACTCCCTGAGCCCTTACGTAAGGGGAGCGCCTCGGCTCCACGGCGTGGCCTCCTCCCCAGGTACCAGCGCACGCACGGCGCGCGGTCGACGTTCTACAACCACTTCGTTGCTGTGTTTGGGACGTCCTGGTGACTGGGACACGCTGTGTTTGGGAGTTTGGAGTTGGGGACCTTTTCAGAGATCAAGGGGGTTCGGGGGTACGAAGGGTGTGCCCTTGGCTGTTACCTTGCGGGCTGGGATCCAAGAACTGACACAGAACGTAAAGCACTCCATACAGGACTGTTGGACAATTCTAGTTGGGTGGTGTGTGCTCGCGTCTCCCCAGCTGCCCATGCCTGAAGCGAAGGCGAAACCGCATGACCTAAAACTGCCAGCCCAAAGCCGCTGCAAGCCCGGAGCTCTCCCCCAAACGAGCCTTCTTCGACCTCTGCGTTGTTTCGCTTCGGGCTCGGGCGGGGGCCGAGAGTTGGGAGTTTGTCAAGGCGTGCGCCCTAGATTCGTCAAGCCCCCGCGCCTCTCCCGCGTCTGTGACAACCCGGACCGTTTGTCTCTTTCTATCGTGATTAGGTGGACGTGGCCACTGCCGTACCCCTCCGCGCCATCGCCTGCCACCCAGGGTATACCCAGGGTAAACTGGGCAACCTTGTACTGATACTCTCAGGGTAGGTCGGGGCGGTGCGGAGAGCATCGGGGAGCTCCTTTTCGGCTTCTTCTTTGGTAGGCTGAGGCAGGGAATTCGCGGTCTAAGGTTCCAAAGCGCGGCGCCGACCATAAGGAATATGTATCAATATTATATAACAGTATCTTGTAAGTCTACATACATATGTATATATGTAGATATATGTAGACATATAATAATGTATATATATATATATGCATATACATATACGTATACATATATATATATATATATGTATATGTATATATATATATATATATATATACATACACTCCAGAAAGTTGGAACATGGTTTAAGGATGCTTAGAGCTGGGATTCCCTTCAGTATACCTGTTGGGGTATGGGGATTTTGGATGTTCCAACTTTTGGGAGTTTATTGTGTCTGTATATATATATATATTTCTATATATATATATATATATATATATATATATAGAGTGAAGACGGTGGTAGCCAAAGGCAGCCAACTGAGACCAAAGGCCGGACTACACTGAGCCGGCCATCGCGGACTACGACGAACCATGCCACGAGGAGAGCAACTGGGGGGAGGGGGCTTGATTGGTGGTTTACGAAAATATAAGCCCTCCAATATAGACCCCAAATCATAGGATTCCCTGAAAAATCAGGACCCCAATAAGGTGCCCCTAATTTCGGAAGCCCCCAATTGGGGGCATGATTTGAGGGCATTGGCAACAGGTGGACCCCCTCTCCATGCGGCAGATGATGGACGACAACACCAGCTTGGGCATTGCGGGCGAGGAGAGCGAGGAGGTAGGGATCCGACTGTCTCATAGACTTGCAAATAGTATAATATAATATAACATAATATAGTATAATATAGGCATAATATACTACAATATACTACATTATAATATACAGCGTGCTTGCAAGCTTCTTCGCCCGCAGCCTGAAGCCGTGGCCCAGACCGCCATGGGCTCCGAGCCCCCTTTCGCGCCCTTCCCGCCCGTGCGCGAGCTCAGAGCTTGAGATGACCTTGGGTTTAGGGTTTAGGGTTTAGGGTTTAGGGTTTAGGGTTTAGGGTTTAGGGGGGTGCTGTTCTAGGAAGGCCAGCCTTGACAAAAACGCCGACGAGAGGAAAGCCTAAACCCAGTCCCAAGCACGTCGGGGATGCAGGTAATGGCACCCTTCTGTAGGCTTCGCAGGCGCGCAAGATTCTGAGGCCGCTCGGCCCCGAACCTGGGATCCTGAACAACCCTAAACCCCAAACCCCAAACCCCAAACCCCAAACCCTAAACCCTAAACCCTAAACCCTAAACCCTAAACCCTAAACCCTAAACCCTAGACCCTAAACCCACCAAGGTCCCCGAACCCAAGCGGACCCCGTGGGCCCAGGCCGCGGACGGTGCGCGCGGCGCCAGAGGGAGGCATGCCCAGGGTGCTCTTGTTGGAGCTCCGGGGTTTAGGGTTTAGGGTTTAGGGTTTCGGGTTTGGGGTTTAGAGTTTGGGGTTTGGGGTTTCGGAGTTCATCGGGTTGGGCTATGTTGGGCTCGGCCCCGCGGCACATGTGACGACTTGCCAGGCATCGCTACACCACGCCGCCGGCGGAACCAGACTGAGGCGCGCCAAGCTTCTTTGCCGCTGTGCCTCTGGCGACAAGTCGTCGCTTGCACGCAAAAAAAAATTGCATCCTTGGGCCGCATCTTGAGCCTTCCTGACACGGCCTGGCTTCCTGCATGAAACCTCGAAGCCCCCGTGGGGACATCACCTCGATGTTTGTTTTCTCGAGGTGCAGCTGCAGGTGGCATCTTGACTGGTGAAGGCCCGGTGGCATGTGAGAGGGCCATCCAAAGCGACCAGGGCTCCCTGCTTTCCCGAGGCAGCATTTATTAAGAGCCATATGCGGCTCACACTAGAAGTACTCATCCTGCTCCCCCTTAAGCCCAGGGACCCATGGATGTCCAGAGGAGACCTGGTTCCAAGGTTTCACTTATGGAGAGCCTGGAAATGTGGCGAGAGAAGAAAGGCTTTTTTGGGTGTGAAGAGAGCCACGGAGTGAGGAGGGGAGAGAACAGTGGAACGGGCGTTGTTCGTCGCAAGAGAAACGTTCTCTGTGCATACATGGAGGCGTCAGGAGTTCTTGCCGCAGGCCGCAGGAAGATCTTGCCCGAACTAGAAGCCCTTGAGGTCCCTGGTTCCTGGTGTGCGTCCTCTGTTGGCGCCACGGTTTTTCGTAGCTTCTTCCCCCCCCCGACTCCCAGAGAGCTGCGATGTGAGGGCAAGCCGAACCCTGGGGGGGCTCCCTGGAGGTGGGGGTCTCTTTCCTTGCCAAAGGCAAGGAGGTTTAGGGTTTAGGGTTTAGGGTTTAGGGTTTAGGGTTTAGGGTTTAGGGTTTAGGGTTTAGGGTTCAAGATGCATAATTAGGGGAGAAGGAGTTGGTGGTGGGTGGCCGAGCAAGCGATGCGAGCGTGGGGCCCGGAGGAACCGAAGCCCTAGATCCTAAACCCCAGGCCCTATTAAACCCGAAAGAGGTACAAGTAAGTTGGGACTCGCCTTTTTGAGCAACGGTGCGTTTCGATGTCCGCGCCATTCCCGGCCGCATTCATGCTCGAGGGGGCCGGCTGTGACATGGACTTAAGGACAGGATGTACTTGTAAGCCGTTACACAGCGCGGGTTTACGGCAGCTACCCTTAGGGTTTATTGTTGAGGGTTCAGGGCCGAGGGTTTTTTTGTTAGCAGGCCTGTGCAAACCCGAACCAGCACTGTTGCCCATTGTGCCTGGGTTAGAACCCATTGCAGCAGCAACTCAAGTAGAGACCCCGGCGATTGCAGCACGCGCGGTGACAACCGACAACCGTGGCACCCAGGTGTTGAGCATATATGACATTCTATGACCTTATATAATGACATCATATGACCTTATATATGACCTTAAGTTCAACAGCTGTGGTGAGTACTGGGCTTCTTAGCTCAACCCATTTGCCGCGTTTTGTCCCCTGCCAAGCCCATGAAGCGGGCGGCCGCTGGGCTGCAAAGAGAGCACTCAAGCATGAAGCTTCTCGGAGTTCGTGGAGATTGTCCTCCTTTCCAGTGCCCACCCTTGTTTTGCGAGGCTCCTCTTGCACCCAGAGGCATTTTGCAAGCCAGCTCAGCTTAGGCAGATGGCTTCCCGCCGGGGATGCCGCCAGGCAAGATGGCCCTGGTCCCGGCACGCGGACGCAGCATACGGACGCAGCAGACGGAATGTATCGGATACCCAAGATTCAAGCAGCAAAAGTCTTAAACCATCACAGGCGCGGCGAGGCTGCAAAGTAGCTGGATGGCTGCACCTTCCGAAGCTCCCAGACCCGACTCCCTTTCTTCCCATTCCGCCCCGAAAAGCGGGGGCCCCTTCCGTGCATCTGCGAAGAATATGCGAATGCTCCAAGGCGGTGCCTCCAGGGGTCGATCCGCTTCAAACCCTGTGGAAGGCGAGCCGCTCGTTTTTTTTTCCGAAAGCTTCAGCGAAGGGTTCTTCGGAAAAAAACGTCAACCTACCATCACCACACTACAATCACCACACTCCAATCACCACACTACCATCACCACACTACCATCACCACACTACAATCACCACACTCCAATCTCCACACTACCATCACCACAGTACCATCACATCACTTCCGCTCCCATCACCACAGTACCATCACATCACTTCCGCTATTAAATTCTCTCTTATTTCTTAGGCTGGGGTGGGTTTCGCCGCGGCTAGCGCGATGCACCCCTCTGCGGGGATCGTGCGTGTCGGAGCGCTCCCGCTGTGCGTTTTTGCGCATTTAGATGTGCGCCCGCGCGCCCTCTGCGGGGATCGTGCGTGTCGGAGCGCTCCCGCTGTGCGTTTTTGCGCATTTCGATGTGCGCCCGCGCGCCCTCTGCGGGGATCGTGCGTGTCGGAGCGCTCCCGCTGTGCGTTTTTTGCGCATTTAGATGTGCGCCCGCGCGCCCTCTGCGGGGATCGTGCGTGTCGGAGCGCTCCCGCTGTGCGTTTTTGCGCATTTCGATGTGCGCCCGCGCACCCTCTGCGGGGATCGTGCGTGTCGGAGCGCTCCCGCTGTGCGTTTTTGCGCATTTAGATGTGCGCCCGCGCGCCCTCTGCGGGGATCGTGCGTGTCGGAGCGCTCCCGCTGTGCGTTTTTGCGCATTTTTCAACTTGCTTCGCACACCCTCTGCGGGGATCGTGCGTGTCGGAGCGCTCCCGCTGTGCGTTTTTGCGTATTTTCAAGCGTGGTCGTGCACCCTCTGCGGGGATCGTGCGTGTCGGAGCCTTCCTCACCTCTTCCTCTCCTCTTCCTCTCCTCTTCCTCTCCTCTTCCTCTCCTCTTCCTCTGCTCTTCTTTTCCTCTTCCTCTCCTCTTCCTCTCCTCTTCTTTTCCTCTTCCCCTCCTCTTCCTCTCCTCTTCCTCTCCTCTTCCTCTCCTCTTCCTCTCCTCTTTCTCTCCTCTTCTGTTCCTCTTCCTCTCCTCTTCCTCTCCTCTTCCTCTCCTCTTCCTCTCCTCTTCCTCTCCTCTTCCTCTCCTCTTCCTCTGCTCTTCTTTTCCTCTTCTTTTCCTCTTCCTCTCCTCTTCCTCTCCTCTTCTTTTCCTCTTCCTCTCCTCTTCCTCTCCTCTTCCTCTCCTCTTCCTCTCTTCTTCCTCTCCTCTTCCTCTCCTCTTCCTCTGCTCTTCTTTTCCTATTCTTTTCCTCTTCCTCTCCTCTTCCTCTCCTCTTCTTTTCCTCTTCCTCTCCTCTTCCTCTCCTCTTCCTCTCCTCTTCCTCTCCTCTTCCTCTCCTCTCCTCTTCCTCTCCTCTTCCTCTGCTCTTCCTCTGCTCTTCCTCTCCTCTTCCTCTCCTTTTCCTCTCCTCTTCCTCTCCTCTTCCTCTCCTCTTCCTCTGCTCTTCTTTTCTTCTTCCTCTCCTGGAAAGTCGACTTTTGTAGTACAAACGTAGTACGCCGCGGACGCCCGGAGCTGCCGTGGCTGGAAAGTCGACTTTTTGCAGTACAAACGTAGTACGCCGCGGACGCCCGGAGCTGCCGTGGCTGGAAAGTCGACTTTTTGTAGTACAAACGTAGTACGCCGCGGACGCCCGGAGCTGCCGTGGCTGGAAAGTCGACTTTTGTAGTACAAACGTAGTACGCCGCGGACGCCCGGAGCTGCCGTGGCTGGAAAGTCGACTTTTTGTAGTACAAACGTAGTACGCCGCGGACGCCCGGAGCTGCCGTGGCTGGAAAGTCGACTTTTGTAGTACAAACGTAGTACGCCGCGGACGAAGTCGACTTTTTGTAGTGCAAACGTAGTACGCCGCGGACGCCCGGAGCTGCCGTGGCTGGAAAGTCGACTTTTGTAGTACAAACGTAGTACGCCGTGGGACTCGAACTCCGCGGTGTCGAAACCCTCGCAAATATCGTGGGACTCGAATTCCGGGATGTCGAAACCATCGCAAATATCGTGGGACTCGAATTCCGCGGTGTCGAAACCCTCGCAAATAGCATGGAAGCGGAATTCCGTACTGTCGAAACCATCGCAAATATCGTGGGGCTCGAATTCCGTGGTGTCGAAACCCTCGCAAATAGCATGGAAGCGGAACTGTCGAAACCATCGCAAATATCATGGGACTCCAACTCCGCGGTGTCGAAACCATCGCAAATATCGTGGGACTCGAATTCCGCGGTGTCGAAACCCCTTCAAAGACGTCGCAAATACCGTGGGCGCGGAACTCTGGGGCTTCAAAGACGTCGCAAATACCGTGGGCGCGGAACTTTGGGGCTTCAAAGACGTCGCAAATACCGTGGGCGCGGAACTCTGGGGCTTCAAAGATGTCGCAAATACCGTGGGCGCGGAACTCTGTTGCTTCGAAAACGTCGCAAATACCGTGGGCGCGGAACATGGGGCTTCGAAAACGTCGCAAATACCGGGGGCGGAACTCTGTTGCTTCGAAAACGTCGCAAATACCGTGGGCGCGGAACATGGGGCTTCGAAAACGTCGCAAATACCGTGGGGGCGGAACTCTGTTGCTTCGAAAACGTCGCAAATACCGTGGGCGCGGAACTCTGGGGCTTTGAAAACCTCGCAAATACCGCGGGGGCGGAACTCTGTTGCTTCGAAAACGTCGCAAATACCGTGGGCGCGGAACTCTGGGGCTTTGAAAACCTCGCAAATATCGTGGGCGCGGAACTCTGGCGCTTCGAAAACGTCGCATATACCGTGGGCGCGGAACTCTGGGACTTCGAAAACGTCGCAGCAAATAGCACGACGACACCACACTACCGTCGCAACATTACCATCACCACATTATCATCACCCCATTACCATCACCGCACTACCATCGCCTCAGCTACACACCGCTTCTCTACGCTGCCTGTTACATTCCATCTTCTTTGCGTTTCGCGTTCTTTTCGCCGTCGACGCCACACCTGCTTCCTATCCTACTACACCACACCACGATCACCGTACTGACAACACAACCAACTATACGTGTCAGTTGATATCTTTGCACTGATGGCTTTCGGGATAATCGGTGTCTAGTTTTTTTTTGTTGGTGTTTTTTTGGTTATTAATATTTTTTTTGCACACAGAGAGGGGCAGAAAAACGGCAAAGTTCTTCTTGGAGGCTCCATGTGTGGAGGCCTGGCATGGTGACTTTCGCTGCGCCGGGCAAGATGCCCTGTGAAGTTGTCACCTCGCGCTGAGTGCTGCTCGTGCTTGTTCTAGACTCAGACAGCGTCTTGAACCCTGAACAACAAAGCCCTACACCCTAAACCCTGAACCCTAGCCCTAAACCCTTAACCCTACACCCTACACCCTAAACCCTAAACCCTAAACCCTGAACCCAAACCCGAAACCCTAAGTTTGTCCATCTCTGGGCGAGGCAGCGGCTGCCCTAGCCTCCCTACCAGGCTGCTCCCCCCCAATGTTGGGGCTGATCGGCATGGGGTTTGGGGTTTCGGGTTTGGGGTTTGGGGTTTAGGGTTTAGGGTTTGGGGTTTGGGGTTTGGGGTTTAGGGTTTTGGATGTAGGGCTTAGGGTTTAGGGGTCTACATCTGAGAGGATGATCGTTGGCTCTTAAGGGTAGTTGCGCAAACACCTGCTATGGGGGCATGGCCAGCAGGGGTCTTGGGTGGTGACGAAGCGGTTGAGTCGACTCTGGGAGCTTTGATTGGGACTTGAGTGTGTGGGGTTTAGGGTTTAGGGTTTCGGGTTTAGGGTTTAGGGTTTAGGGTGTGACGCACCCAAAATGGGGGGACCGGCTGTGTGCTACACACTCGTGGGCAGTCGGTTTGGCATGCATGGGCTCTTCTCCGAGGGTTCTGTTCGAAGGATGGCGAGGAACGAGTGAAGCCTGGCTCATCTCTACAGTGCCTAGCGAAACGACCCAGAAGACAGCGCGCTTCCGGCGCAGGCATGCCAGCAATGCCAGCGATGCCTGGGATGCCGGGCATGGCGCCGCCTTTCAAGCCGTGGGCTCAGAATCTGCTGAGTCCTCTTTGGCAAAGGCTTTTAACGTTTGGAGCCCATCCCTTCTTTTCGAAGAATTCGAAAGCTTGTTCTCAGAGCTTCATCAATTTCTCGACTTCTGTTCGGATGTCAGGTTTTAGATGGGCCGGATTCTGCTTGTTAAGTAGATGTCGCCATCTTAGGCTAAAAACTGCTGGGCGGGTGCCGGACGGTTCCTGCAACAGACGCTCCCCAAACCCAGTCTTCCCTGCATACGAAATGAAGGCCTGCTTCGGATCCATCTCACAATATCCAGATCCGATACAACTAAGCCCAAACGCCCCAAACTGGAGGGCTGCAACTGCTAAGACCCACTTTCGTGGAGACGAAACCATGAGTCCCTTTCCATGCCTCAACAAAGCTCCTTAATGCGTAGGCCCGCGCCTGCTGCCCCAACTGGGACGGGCGACGCGCCCAAAGGCGCAAGCAAAGAGAGCACTTCTTCGGGGTTTTGCGCCCTGCTGGAACTATGTGTCTGCGCTAGAGTGGGGGCTGTTGTAGCGGTTTCTTGGTGGGGAATTCGGTGCCCCATGTAGTCCCTCAGAGGGCTACTTAAGTTTGGGATGCTTAGGCGCCTACCCAAACCCGACAAACCCCAAAATGTCACAAATGTAGATAAACATATTGCACGGGTCAACAGAGAAACTATTCCTCCCCAAGGAACTCCTCAAGCACTTCATCCCTGAGATGGCTACTTGGGAGGGATACTTAGGTACCCCAAACCCTCTACCCTAAACCCTAGAGCCTAGACCCTAAACCCTAAACCCAAGAGTCTGCGCCAGTTGCCCCCGGCAGCGTCGTGCCGCCCAAGGCCCCTAAGGCCATGGGCGGGCCGGGGCCTCAGGGGATTTTTCGGGGAATGTGGGGTCCCCTATAAGTCCCTAAGAGTTCGATGGGTTCCTTAAGAAACAGCAAGTGGGGTCCCCTAAGATGCTAAGAATTCGAGGGTTCCTTTAAGAAACAGCAGTTTTTTGCAGTTTTTGGGGGGTTGATCGCATGGAGCCGGTTCACGGAGCTCAAGGGGTTTAAGGGCTTCGGGCTTAGGGTGTAGGGTACCGAATTTCCTATGTCCTAAGATGGAGAACTTCGGGAACCTCGCGTTGGACCGAACACCCTGACACCCCCCTCAAGACATGCCGCAAAGATCCCCTGGCACCCCCCAAGAACAAAAACTGCCCCTGAAACGGAGTGCTCCAGGCTCCTGCTGCCGGATGCCGCCATGCTCAGGGGGGGGAGTTCTTCGGGATTCGAGGGTTGGGGATTGGTGCACCGGAAGCGTGTCTCAGAACCGAACGCGGCTCGGTAGGGCTCATCTGGGTTGAGGGTAATTGTGCCGTGGTTGTGATCTGGATGAAGCCTCGCAGGGTGGGATTCGTTGATCGCATGAGGTCTCCGGCAACGGGGCGATGCCTGCAGAGCTGCCGACGTCAGCAGGGGCCACAGCGGCTTGGGATTGTGCTTAGCTCATGCGCCCTGAAAAAGGAAGAGGACCCATCCCAAAAACAAACATGGGGAGCCTCAAGAAGTCACCGAAGCTCCTCCAGATGTTGCATTTTCCTTTCTCAGCTCCTTGCAAGGTGCCCCCGCCCTGGAAGGCGCGTTGAGTAGTTTTGCCTTGACCTGATGTTGCCAGGGAGGATGCAGGGAGGGATCGCGTGAGGGAAGGCTTCAGAAAGTTGGCCTATGCTCCTAAACCCTAAACCCTAAACCCCAAACCCCAAACCCCAAACCCTAAACCCTAAACCCTAAACCCTGACCCGAAACCCTAAACCCTAAGCCCTCAGCCCTAAACCCTAAACCCTAAACCACCGAAACCCTAAACCCTAAAAACCCTAAACCCTAAACCCCAAACCCCAAACCCTAAACCCTAAACCCTAAGCCCTTATCCGAAAAAACCCTAAACCCTCAACCCTAAACCCTAAACCCTCAACCCTCAACCCTAAACCCTAAACCCTCAACCCTCAACCCTAGACCCCTCAATCCTAAACCCTAAACCCTAAACCCTAAACCCTAAGCCCTAAGCCCTAAGCCCTAAACCCTAAACCCTAAACCCTAAACCCTAAACCCTAAACCCTAAACCCTAAACCCTAAACCCGAAACCCTAAACCCTAAACCCTAAACCCCCTTTCAAGCCGAAGCTTCGGTCCAAGCCCGGCTCCCAGATCTCCTCGCCGCCGCCCAAACCAGCGCCAGGGCAGCTGGCGAAGCCTCCAGGGCCACAGGTCGGGCAAAGGGGTTTAGGGTTTAGGGTTTAGGGTTTAGGGTTTAGGGGGTTTAGGGTTGAGGAGGTTTAGGGTTTAGGGTTCAGGGTTTAGGGTTCAGGGTTTAGGGTTTAGGGTTCAGAGTTTAGGGTTTAGTTAGGGTTTCGGGCCGCACATGAAACATCATCAATTTAAAAGAAGCCCTAGTTACTTTCAGGAGCTTGGGACTTGAAGCGATCTGTTTTGTTAAGACCCTCTCGGCTGTCCCCCCCGCAAGTCATCTGAATTCGTTGCCGGGAGGCGGAGACCTCGCCGGAGGTGGCGCCCTGCAAGTCGCAGGCAAAGTCCGAACCGGGAACAAATGGGATGCCCTAAAATGAATTACCCCAAGACCTACACCCTAAACTCTAGACCCCCTCAGTTCCTTGGGTCCTTGGGGGCGCTCAGACTTGCCGAAAATGGGCCACCGGAATTCAACTTCGACGTTAGAGGGGCTGCGGCCAAGGAATGGTGCATGTCGTACGTGCTCCCTTGGGTGACAGTCCTTTAATGGGGGATTTTAGTACCCCGTATTTTATCTAAGTTCTAGAGACATAGTGGCGTCAGGGCTTTGACGGGGCGACGATGGGGTGACGACGTCGTCGCGCCGTCGTCCCGCCGTCGTCCTGCCGTCGTCCCGCCGTCGTCCCGCCGTCGTCCCGTCGTCCCGCCGTCATAAGGCCTAGTTGGGGCTTAAACTAGGCCTTATGACGGGAAATAAGGCCTAGTTTGGGCCTTATGACGGCGTGACGACGGCACGACGTCGTCCCGTCATCCTGCCGTCGTCCCTCCGTCGTCTTGCCGTCGTCCCTCCGTCGTCCCACCGTCGTCCCTCCGTCGTTTTGCCGTCGTCCTACTTTTGATGTGTGGACTAACACATATCTTTAGAACTTAGATAACCCTTCTTCGAATCCCTTTTCAAGGACTGTTAGTATAAGAGGGAGCATCCCAACCGGCAACCGTCAGATCCCCCTGTTGAGAGAGAAACAGCGTCCCTGCCTCCTTGCCCTTCTTTGTCCCCTGCAGATGGCTCCGAATGATCTGATGCCAAAGCAGCAGACCATGCCCGGCTTTCAGGCGGGCTTGGGGTTTAGGGTTTAGGGTTTAGGGTTTAGGGTTTAGGGTTTAGGGTTTAGGGTTAGGGTTTAGGGTTTAGGGTTTAGGGTTTAAGGCTTAGGTAACTGCCTGTGAAGGAAGGGAACTTTCTTTCATGCGGTTCCGTGGGGGCGGCAACCGGAGCATGCCTTCAGTGCTGCGCATGCTGCGCCTGCCAGCGTGTCAGCGACCAGAAATAATCCCAGACACGTCCCCTCCACAGAGCGAAGAGGCCTCCTTTTTTTTTTTTCTCCCATGGGCTTTCTTCGCAGAGCTCCGCCCCACTTCCGTGTGCATTTGCAACCCGTAGGGTCTGATGTAGAAGTGCTTCGAGTACTTCAATTGCCCCCCAGTTGGAATTTTTCGATATGGAAGTTTACGACAATAAGGGAACCCCCAATATAGATCCACTAAATAGTAGGATCCCTGATCATAAGGACCCCAATATAAGGTACAAGGTACCTCCAACCCGCAAACCCTAATCCCTAACCCCTAACCTCTAAACCCTAAACCCTAAACCCTAAACCTCTAAACCCTAAACCCTATTTTAGGAAACCCTCCATATTTCATAGGGCTGCCCTGTTCCCACGAGCTCCAGCCAGAGGCGCCACCGTGGAAGGCCCCCGCCGCGGCGGCCGCGAGCAGCGCCTTGGCTTTTGCTTTCTGGCTTTGGCTTTCTGGCCTCTTGCTTTTTTGGCTTTTTGCTTTTTTGCTTTTTGCGGCTTTTGCTTATTTGGCATTTGCTTTTGGCGTTTTGCTTTGGGCTGTTGCTTTAAGGGTCCAACAAAAAGGGCGCTCAAAGGCCGGTTTCTTTGGCATGCTTGGCATCTTGTGGCCCTGGAGCTTTCGCGCCCAGGCCCGCCCAGCGGCACAGCAGGAGCCCGCGCCTGCACAGTTCTTTCATGGTTGATGGGGTTCTCAGAAGGGCCCCCTTTTTGGGTACCCTAAAATAAGCCGCCTTAGAAGAGGGACCCCAAAAGGGGCCATATTTTAGAGAAGTGACCATATAAGGGCCCCCCCATTCTGTTGAACGAGACTGGGCATGTTGGGCACTGTCGTTTAATTTAAAAGTATGCAGATGGGGATCTGTGACAATCATTCAGTCTCCTGTGCTATCTAAAAGTTGCAGTAGAGTTACATCATACAGAATTCCCCCGCAACCCCTCCCCCCCCGCCTCCCCAAGGGGGGACCCCTGGGCCCAGTGAGACGACAGTTCAGATCCCCGAGTCTGCAGGCTTCTCCAAAGCCGCCGCCGCTGCTTCCGCCGCTGCCCTGTGATGGGGTGTGGTTAGGGTTTCGGGTTTAGGTTTAGGGTTGAGGGGGTTTGGGGTTTAGGGTTTAGGGTTTAGGGTTTCTGAATTCAAGAGATTCGCTTCAAAAGGGTTTAGGGTTTAGGGTGGTGGACCAGATAGATAGATAGTGTGTATTTCTCTGTAGTATATATATATATATGTATATATACATATGTACTATGTATCTACCAAAAGGCCACCACCAGGAACCCCAAACACGTGTGAACTCGTAGCCAAGGCCATGGGCCAGGCATCGCCGACGGAGCTGCTCCGCGGGGTCCACGGCGGCTGTCATATCTTTGTCATAGTGGGATAACATTTTACATTTTTAAGGGTACTTAAACTCAATAAGAATAAAATTTTTAAATTTTTATTACTATCCCAACTATAAACCAGATATGGGGTCTGAGTGTATCTTCGGGGGGGGGGACAGAGCTTCAGAATCGAAGTTTAGGCAGGGGGGTTGGGAAGCTTGGAGTGCGGAGGCTTGTAGAGTTTAGAGTTTAGAGTTGAGGGTTTAGGGTTTAGGGTGTTAGAGGTGCGAGGATCCTACATCGACAGCAAGCCGGATGCAGCCGCGGTGCTCAAGCAATTTTGACTGGTCCTCTGCAACACACCTCAAGCTCAGTTGAGAGCCATGGCCCGACGCTCCTCCAGCGTCACCCGTCTGATAAACTCTTTGGTTTAGGGCCGTTTTGGGGGTTAGGGTCCAAGTTTTGCAGGTTTTTGCTGGTTTCAGAAGAGTGTCGCCGCCTGGAGCTCTCTTCACCTCCTTGATGTCGAGGGCACCGCCTTGTTTCAGAGCCCACCGCTGTCCCGCTAGTTTTTCCCTGACTGCGAACGACATAGTTTAGTGACGTTGTGTGGTGCAGGTCGCCTTTCAACAACTTGTGCTGGCAGGGGTGCATGACCTCCGAGAAGCTGGACTGCCTGTGTGAACCCCGTGCCATAAGTCCACACACCGAAGAAAAAGTGGAGCAATGTCCTCCAAGGTCCTCAATCGGGTCATTCCCCATCCGAAACACCTTCAGCACACTTCAGCACGTGGCCTGTTGCCAGGCTCTGATCATCGCTGCTGCCCTGTGCGCGCTGCTGGCGCTCCAGGCTACCGGGGGTTTCCTGCGAGCCATCTGCTACTCGTAGATTTGCAGCTTTGCAGCTTTGCAGCTTTGCAGCTTTGCAGCTTTGCCGTGTGCTAGCTGCAGTTTTCGGGCTGCAGTTGGCCAAAAAAGTGGGACCCCCCCCCCCCCCCCCCCCCCCCCCCAAAAAAAAACTCCCCATCCGGGCCGAGCGGCTGAGGCTGCCTTCGTGGGCCCGAGCCGCGGCAGCGAGGCTCGGCTCAGACCCTCAGCAAAGCACTCCGAAGTGTCACAAGATGCGACTATACCCTTTCCTATTGTATAGTCGTATATATGTGTATGTATATACACATCTTATATATGTGTATGTATATACACGTCTTATGTATTGTACAAGGAGCAAGCACAAGCTGAGTGTCCAGCTCCAGACCAGCGAAGCCGCCAGAAACATACCAGACTCAACTCCTGAAGTCCAACTCCCTAAGCTAAAACCCTGAACCCTAAACCCTAAGTCCTACACCCTAAACCCTAAACCCCACACACCCTAAATCCCTAAACCGTGCACAAATAACCCTAAACCCTAAACCCCAAACCCCATAAACCCTAAACCCCACAAACCCTAAATCCCTAAACCGTGCACAAATAACCCTAAACCCTAAACCCCAAACCCCATAAACCCTAAACCCCATAAACCCTAAATCCCTAAACCGCAAACAAATAATGAAGAGGGAGGCCCGGGCAGGTCTCGCAGCAGGACATGGCAAAGGTGGCCGCAGCTGGTGCCATCCTCACCGCGCCGGAGGCAGCTCACGCACGACTTCCGGAGGCCTTTTGTTTTCTTTTTTTTTTTTTTTGGGGGGGGGGGGGGGTTTAGGGTTTGGGGTTTAGCGTTTAGGGTTTAGGGTTTAGGGGGGAGCCATGCATGCCTTTTGGGGGGGGGGGTTCAGGTTTCTGTGTTTTCAGGGGAACCCGAGCTTTCAATTGTCTCTTGCACCGGCTTCATGAAGTGGTCGGTGTGGAGATGTGGGACGCGATGCTGCAATCCGGGAAGACGTGCGCGTTGAAAGAGCCCACGACGTGACGACGTCGAAGCATGTTCCTCCGAGTCACCCCACAAGATGGCCTTCTGGAAGATCTGCAAATGCCCTCGGACAACCACAAAATCCTCATGTAGGTAGCATTAGCATCACAGACAGTCCAAAATCTTAACAACAAATAGTCTACTATTAAAATAGCAAGTATTCTCACATTATAATCACCAATCGTCTACGTACTCCACTCAGTGCCAAGCACTAGCTATCGCACCTAAAAGAGTGCAGTGAGTTTAGACAGACATATGAGTTCAACATATAGATAGTAAGAATAAGTAGCTAAGTCATATATACAAAAAATATATCGTATAGCAGAATAGTAATGATAGATAAATAAATCAAGAAATAATGAAACAATAAATATAAATATAAATATATATATATATATATAAGCAAATTATTGTGTATATATACCTACTACATACAGAATATTCGATTCCACTATAGTATGTACACAGCCGAGCTTCTGCAAATCGCGGCGAGGAGTTTGTCATCTTCGCGCCCATCGTGGACGTGCTGCCGGCACACCAGCGGCATGAGTTTGCGGCTTCGGGATGCGCGCGCATAGAGCTGCTTGGGGTTTGGGGTTTAGGGTTTAGGGTTGAGGGTTTAGGGTTTGGGGTTTAGGGTTTAGGGTTTAGGGCTTAGGGTTTGGGGTTTAGGGTTTAGGGTTTAGGGTGTAGGGTGTAGGGTTTAGGGTTCAGTCTTCACCTTGACAGACCCTAGCAGACTCTGACACTCGGAGGGTGTTCAGACCGGCTTCCAGTCAACAATCACGTCTGTGCGCAGCTTTGGCACGTAGTTAAAGCATGCAGTGCAGGAAGGGCCTTCCCCAATAACCAGTCGTGTTTGAGGGGTTGCTCGAGGGTTCGAGTGCAGATGGGACGGCTGCCATCATGTAGAAGGGACTTTAAACTTACAAGTACCGAGTTATGTGCTGCCCCCTCGCCTGACAGATCCTGCCCGTCTTCTTCTTCTTGCTGGCATTCTTGTGGCAGGCGCGACGCGTAACATTGCCCCAAAACGGGAAGACGCAGGCCGAAACTGAACTAGCAGCATCCGCATTTTTGGGAGCGCCCTTCAATTCGAAGCCGTGTTCCGCAATGGCTGTTGGGCCCTAGGGTTAGGGACCAGGGTCAGGCTGCCATGCCGTATTTCTCAGAATACTAGCAGTCCGTAATAAAGTTCTGGTTACCCCCCTATGACAATCCCTCTGAAGGACTTTTAGAAGAAGGGGGGAACATCCCAAGTGATGCCTCTACACTGCATCAGCGACCAGTGTCTCTCACCTCGGTTCGCGTGTTCCAGGCAGCCGTGGGCTTCCGCTGAGCGGCGATGTGGAGATCGCTGAGTTGGGAGGAGCATCAAGTTGAGCGAGTCTTGCCTTAAGAGGGATATAGACAAAAGCAGTGTGTTCAGGCCGTTGCAAAAGCTGCACGTCGCTTGGGCTCCAAAGGCAAAGGCCCCTTGAAGGCCCTAAACCTGCGCACGCCAGGACTCGAATTTTTCGCTTCCGCTTCGAAGGACTCAGCAATGCTGAAAGCGAGTGCGGATGAAGATGCGGATCACGTGTGTCGGGGTGGGGGGTGCCCCCCTGGGTTCTGGGTTGCTTCGCAGAGAGCTCGAGGGTTGCTGGCGCTTTTGGTTGGAGCTGCAGCATGCTGTGTACATCGGAGGGCCAGACCTGTGTGTGTTTACAGCCTAAACTCCTAAGCCCTACTTGTGCCCCACGCCCCGATGCCCCAGTTCGGGCTCGAGTTCCAACCACTCCGCACCTGCCTTCTCATATTGCCTGGAAAGAAGCCATGGCCGCACGCCGCATCTGGGCCCAATTCGTGGTTTGGTGAATGTCATGCGCGCTTGTGTCGTGGTCTGTCATGGTCATCGTCTGTCATGGTATCATGAACACAGCCCTCAGCTTTGCAGTCGCAGATCTCTGAACCCCTAAGCCCTAAGTCTTCCCCAAGTAAAAACAGTCAAGAGGGCCGCCCCAAGATGTTGGGGGGTCGTCTTCTCGAGGCTCCAGCGCCCTCGTCCTCCTGGCAGCCCTGGCCGCCCTGTGCCTCCTTCAGCATCCTGGCAAAAGCACCTTGAGGGCGGGAGTCAGGAGCCCCCCATACCCCCATATCCCCATATTCCTCTTCTGAAGCCCCCTTAACACCCCTAAAACCCTATAACCCCTGCAACCCCTACCTCTACTACGACCCTATAACCCTATGAATCACCCTACCAGCCTAAAGCCCGATGACCCTATAGCCCCTACAACCCCATATCCCCATAACCCCTATCAGAACTGCTAGAACCCCATGACCCCTATAACCCTGCAACCCTTTAGCCCCAAACTGCCTGAAACGACCCAGGAGTGCTTTCGTGAGCCCTGGTCAGACCCCGCGTGGGGAGGTGCCGTTGGGTTGGGGTTCATGAATGGGGTTCGTGTAGGGTTTAGGGTTTAGGGCTTCCGAAAAAAGGGGATACTTTGTTGACTGCCTTGGGGTATATATAAAAATAAATATAAATAGAAATAAATACATAAATATATAAATAAATAAATAAAAGTAAATAAATAAATAAATAAAAAAAAAAATATATATATATATACATATTTTTGGGAGATGCCGAAAATGCTCACTCTTTCTCCGCATCTTGTCCAGCAGCGGGGGTCGAAAGGTGTCAAGCCCAGGAGTGCCAATCCCTGGGCCCTCCATGTCGCCTCCCGTCCCTTGTGGAACTGTCGAACTTTCCTGTGCGGACTTTGCTTCCGTGCGGGCGGATCGCTTGCGGGGCCCCTTAGGGGGGGCGAGTTCATCCTAGAGTTTGGACTTCCGTTCCATAAAAGAAGCCAAAAAAACTGAGGTTCACGAGCATTGGGCAAGCTGGAGGCACCTCTAAGCCCGCAGCCTGAGGCAACCTCCCTAGCCGCTAGGCCCTAGCCTACATCCTGTGAGTCCCTGAAATTCTTAAACCCCAAACCCCCCAAAGCCCCCCATCCTTTGAATCCCTGAACCCCCCCCAAAAAAATAAAACAAAACAAAGAACAGAATCCCCAGGACTGCCATCTGATGCCTCGTCCCTGAACCCTGAAACCCCAAACCCCAAAGCCCCAAAAACCCACGGAACCGCCCTACTGGCCGGATATGGCTGGATCTTGTAGGGAATGAGGGAAGTAGCGCCCTATTCCCCTTAAAGGGCATATATATATATATATATATACATATATGGGCCGTATAGAATCCCGTAAAGGGTATATACATATATATATATATATAGACATATGTACATATACATATATATATATATATATATATGCATATATATATATATGTATTACAGGGTCCTCATTCCCTCATTCCCTCATTCAGAACCAGTGGGCCCTCTGCCTCAGGTGTCCCAGGACGTGGCCAAGGCCGCTGCCATCGGGGCTGTGCTTGCGACTCCCGAGGCCGCGCACGCTCGACTTCCGGAGGAGCCAGTTGTTGGGGTTTAGGGTTTAGGGTTTAGGGTTTAGGGTTTAGGGTTTAGGGTTTAGGGTTTAGGGTTTAGGGATGTTTGGGGTTTGGGGATGTTTTTAGGGCTGCTTGGGGATGTTTGGGGATGCCTGGGGATGCTTGGGGATGCTTGGGGATGCTTGGGGATGCTTGGGGATGCTTGGGGTTTGGGGTTTGGGGACGTGGTCTGTTGGGGTGCTTGCGTCTGGAAAGTTGATTGAAGTCTGAGATCGGGCGCAGGAGTTCGTGATCTTTGCCCCAATCGTGGATGTGCTGCCGGCCGTGCACCAAGAGGGCCGCCCAAGTGAAAGGGTTTAGGGTTCAGGGTTCAGGGTTTAGGGTTTAGGGTTCAGGGTTCAGGGTTTAGGGTTTAGGGTTTAGGGTTTAGGGTGAAGGATGCCTTTTGGGATACCTTCGGTTGCCTTGGGATGCCTGAAACAAGTTTCCCTCAAATCCCCCACTCTGCTGTCTCAGGGGAACTTGTGACCAGCGCCTTTCACATCCCGGTTTGGCCTTCCTGGTACTGTCTCACTTGCATGTGCCGGGCCATGGCAAGCACGAAATCCGTAACCCGCGCTGCCTGATGTTTTCAGCCCCATTTGCCCAGTTTGAGTAGGTAGTAGCACCTAGTAGCACCTGGTAGCTTATAGTACCTTAGCAGCACCTAGGCTCACGAAACAGAGGTAGGCATTGGAATGCGTTGTTCTTCAGATGGTCCAAGTGAAGACCCTAATCCCCATCAAAACCTGGTGAACGGTAAAGCCAGCCATCAGAATCCTTGCAGATCCTGCCGGTGTTCTTCTTCCTTTTGGCATTCCTGTGGCAGGCCGCGGGATGTAGCGGTGTGGCCCTCCTGAAAAAAGCATAGAAGTCGGAACAATTACTCATAGTATTCCCTTATGGCCTTTATAAATATACTCGAAGGACCACCAAAACCCTATTCGATTTCTTCAGGCCCCTATATCAGCTGTATTCGACCCTCTTTCCCTCTTTCTGGCAGGCCGCCGTTGGCTTCCGCTGAGCGGCCGGACATCCAACGCGGACGGAGGGACCTCACCCCGTTTTTGCGCGATTGAAGCAAAAAAGAAGCCGGAGCCAGTGGCGGGAGGAGGGGGGGGGGAGGGGGGGGGGGGAGGGGGGGGGGGGGGGAGAGGGGGGGGGGGGGGAGGGGGGGGGCTTGGGAGTTGCGGCTCTCTGGGACGAGTTACTTTTCTGGTCTAGCGCCTCTGCCTGCCGGTTCTTGCTCTTCCAAACGCGTTCGTACCGTCTGCAGCAGCGTCTGCGACATGGTGGCGCACACCCCAAGATGGCAAAACATGAAATGTCCTCGAGAAAACCCACACCCAAGGAACATGAAGCCCTCAGCCCAAGAAATGCTTTCTACGGGCACAACCCTAAACCCCAAAACACCCGAAACCCGAGACCCTAAACCCATGCCCTACACCCCAAACCCGAGGTTCCACCCCATGCGTCTACCTAAGGCCGTGGGGAGGAGCTGTTGCGGCAGACTGCGCAGACTCTCGGCGGAGTCATCTTGGGGGTCTCAGGGTTTCAGAGTTTAGGCGTTAAGTCTTTTGGTGGTTTGGGGGGTCAAGGGCCTTTGGCAATTAGGGACCTTCAGACACGAGGATGGTGGGTTGAGGTTTTAGTGTTCGCAGGCTTCCTTTTTTCGGGAATGGGATTGATGGAGCCTCGCCCTCCCACCAAAATTCAGGGGCACCTTCGGGTTCGCGTCGAATGCCTTGTCAGCATTTTGCAACGGGCTGCGCTCTGCTTGAGTTGTCCCACATTTTGGCAGCATGCCCAATCAGGATCTAACCGAGCCCTCATTCGATCAGATTTTTAGCATGGACACGGAACATAACTTGTGTTGTAACCCTTTGCGTGCCACATTGATGCATGGGCCATGCCCATGTCTTATGAGTTTCTGCAAGGCATGGTAAGTTTGATCGTGTCGCAGTGTCTCGGCTAGGGGTCTTACGCCCCGTTTTTCTTTCATGTTTGTCCTGTGAAGCGACTTTTTGCGCCCCTCAGCTGTTTGACAGGCTTCTCAAAAAAGGGCAGTTGTTACCCTGTGCCCAGGCTGCACCAGCAGAACGAGATAGCCCAGAAGCAACAGGAGGCGCAACCTGGGTCTTGAATGCCGCATGGCCAAGATGTTTTTTTGAGGGGGTCCCTCAAGGTGCCCCCCAACTTTGCCGCACATAGCCGAAAAGCTCATAGAATCTCATGGGCCGAGTGCTGCTAATGGGCCGGGGGGCAGGAGGAGAGGCGGCGACAGGAGGAGAAGGAGCCCCGGTGACGAGAGCAGGGTTTTCGGGCTCCGGATTTGCGGCGTAAGTTCTGAGGTTCTTCGGGATGACATGCCGTCGCAGAAGCCACGACTTCGGGCTTCTGAGCCTCGAAGGCTCAAGGGATGCTGCCGTGTCTCTTTCTCTCTCTCTCTCTTGGAGACTCGGAAGGTCGCCACAAACGAGTGAGTCTCGTGAACGATGTGCAGGAGTACTTGGTTGGGCACAGCACACGATCTCTCCACCGAGAGAGCAGCGAGCTCCACTCCGAAGCAGCGAGCGGATTCATCTCACCAAGACCTGAGGACCTGAGACGTCATGCCCAACGTGAGGGGACAGGAGTCCGCACTCAAGGTGCCTGCGAAGCTAAGACGGAGCTCGGCTGAGCCCTCGGCGTGGAAGACGAACCATGCTTCCGTACTGTTGGAGGCTGCGGGTGCTCCTACGTCAAGTTGCGCATCCTGCTTTGCGCGGCCTGCCGTCGCGGCCACGGTTGACAGGGCCACGAGTTGTGCCACCGACCGAGATGCCGGAATGCCATGAACAAGAGCTTGGATGCAGGAACGCCTCGTGGCACCTCAAGCGCTGATGCGAAGTACAGCTTCGCGCACGAGTTGTGCAAAAGGGCAACTCGCATGGACTCCCCTGAGCCCCCCCTCCATCCCATCCCAAAACGTCCTGGCTCCCGTGAACCTCGGGGATGATCTCCAGGAGCAGGCACGCCAGAGGTTCGAAGAGCAGAGGCCGAGCTGTGGGGAGTGCAGTCGCCTGGGAGAGGCGTTGGGAGGGCGTAAGGCGCTTGTCCAGAATCTAAAAATCACACAATAGGGGTGCGTTTGCATATGAGATCAACACAAGCTACGGGCTTCTCACTGGGGGCCGCTTTTACATATACCAACATAGGTTACAAGCCTCTGGCTGGGCAAAAAAAGGTTTGGGTCTGCCAGGCTGCTGACCTCCAGCGGCCCAATTGTGCCAGCTTCGAAAAGACTTACAAGATGCATGCAACAGCCTGCGGACCAGTCTTGAAGCATGGGGAATATATACATATAGATACAAATGTCATACACGCGAATCTATGTATTTAGAAGCAATTTAGTAACCCAGGCCTCTTCTAAGCTCAGTTCTGTGGGATCTCGCAGAGGCGGCAGCAAGAGGAGGAGCGGAAGCGGCTCAGGCGGGGAACCCCGCATGGGTGCCATGAGGGATGGGGGCTTCACGGGTTTAGCTGTGGATTCATTAAGTGATTTGATTACATCAGAAAGGCTAAGTTAGAATGACTTAGAGCATGGAATCAGTTAGTCAGATTATGTTAAATGAGCTGACTGGCCAGAGCATGAGCTGGCGGAGTCGTACAGGCGGCTAGCCGCTTAACCGCTTCGACAGGGGGGAGGGGCGCGGGGGGGGCGGATTGGTTTCGAATCATGTGCTGCACACTGCCTGGTGCAGTTACAGGGGGGTTCCATGTCAGCAGTAACTTTATACGTGGCTTGCGTGGGTGTCTTGAGGGCGCCGGACTATGCATTCGGGCTGCTGTGTAATTTGGCATTTGCCTCAAGCTAAGGCGGGGCGCTTATCATCAGAGCAAGGCCCTCCGCAGCCGACAAAGAACCCGCCAAGGTCAAATCCATGCAAGAGGTAACCCTAAACCCTAAACCAAAGAACTACTCACCCGAAACCCGAACCCTAAACCCTAAACCCTACTACCCCTACACCCTGAAACCCCCAAGCTCCCCAAACTCCCCAAGCTCCCACACGCCGGAACCCTATATATCCCGTAACCCTCATCCTAAACCCTAAGCCCTAATACCCCTAAACCCCAAAAACCCAAGCTCCCCAAGCTCCCCAAGCTCCCAAGAGCCAGAACCCTAAACCCTAAACCCTAAACCCTAAACCCTAGACCCTAGACCCTAAACCCTAAAAACCCACCTGCCAGGGAGGAGTCCGACCGCGTGGCGCAAGGCCTCCAGGACGAGCTGCGGAAGCTCATCGAGGCAGGGAATGCCTCTACACCCCCTTTTAAAAGCCCACAGCACCTTAAGGGTTTGGGGTTTAGGAGGGTTCAGGGTGTAGGGGGTTAGGGTTTCGGGTTGTGGGTCAAAGAGCCAACAAAAGGCCCCCCTAAATGCCCTAAATCCATCTGCCCGAGTGGCCGGCGAGGCCGACTGAAGACTAGAAAACCCAAGAGCCCTGCAAACCCGAAAGACCGTGACAAAAAACCCCTTTCACATTCTTCTCAGAAACCCTAAGCCCCCCCCCCCCCCCCCCCGAAAACCAAAACAAAGCCCGAAAACCAGGTTGTCAGATCCCCGGGTGCCGTGGCCACTTTGGCCTAAACCCTCAACCCTCAACCCTCAACCCTCAACCCTCAACTCTCAACCCTCAACCCTCAACCCTCAACCCTCAACCCTCAACCCTCAACCCCCAACCCTAAACCCTCAACCCTCAACCCTCAACCCCCAACCCTCAACCCTAAACCCTCAACCCTCAACCCTAAACCCTAAACCCTAAACCCTAAACCCTAAACCTTAAACCTTAAACCCTCGCGCCTTTCCGCGTTGCCAGGTGGCCGAGCTGGAGGTTCAGATGGCCGAGGTGCAGATCAGGGATTTGGAGATGCGGCTTGAATGGGTTTGGGGTTTGGGGTTTGGGGTTTGGGGTTTGGGGTTTGGGGTTTGGGGTTTAGGGTTTAGGGTTTGGGGTTTAGGGTTTAGGGTTTAGGGTTTAGGGTTTAGGGTTTAGGGGACCTGGTTCGTTGTGCTTGACTGGTTGCTGGATTCCGGCTCCTTGCTAGGCAGAGGCACAAAAGATCGATGAGCCCAAGCAGTGCGAGGACGAGCATCGCCTGAGTTGTGTGGGGTCGTTTAGGGTTTAGGGTTTATCGTTTAGGGTTTGGGGTTTAGGGGTCCTTTAGGTCCAGGGAGTGTGCCCGCAGAATGCAACGATGTGTGTTTCTGGGTAAGCTTCTTTTTGGTCAGGGTATCGATACTTTTTGGCTGGGATGTCCTTGCATCAGGCCATCGGCCAAGGCGGTGTTGCATACACCTGTACCTGAACTCAGGTCTTTTTACGTCCTGTTGCCTTGCTCTTGATGAGGTTCTGATATTTTTTCTGCGATCCTAGAAGCACCAGCCAGGCGACCTCGGTTGGTTTCTGGAGTCCTCAGCG